ATTTTTTTTGAACACACTTTCTGCTTTCTGAAATGGAGAGTCATGCGGAGCAACATCGGTTAATCGACGTGAACGCTTTAATCGCTTCAGTACACTCAGCTAAACATTTGGTTTGACATGTGGTTGCAGTTGTTTGAAAGTCATGTTTAAAAAGAATTTTTGATAAATGACAGCGAGGATGTTTAGTAAGCTAAATTTAAATTGAAAGACTGTGCACAAGGGTGGCATACGACCGGGGGGGAGACATGTGTTAAAGCAGTCTCTGTTTTTCAAGGAAAATGGCTTCTAAATTATAATATTTAGAAGGATTTTTTGCATGGAACAATAAAAGATTTGAGATTTAAAAAACTGGAACACTTGTTATAACCTCCTGCCCGTGCTTTACACAAAGTCGGTTCGCCATTTCCTTGCAACCACCCTCAATCACGAAAACACTTCCAAACAAAGGTGTATTCACAAATGCTGTTGAAATTTAAAAACCCAACAATCCATACTGTTTATTTCAGGCTGTTGATCTCCTGATCTGTAAGGGAAGGCTGTGAAGAGTTATTTTTCAAACTTTTTGTAGAATAAATGACCTTCTAACCTAACGAAGTTACATATCTAATTAGATGAGAACCAAAAAAGATTGAGTGCAGGCCTAATATTGAGAATGTATTGAGACTTTGTGTGAGAAGTTTACTTCGTTCATTTAGATCGATCACTCGGTCCTATTATCGGAATTGCGTTGGAGTGATTGTTGTTTACGACATTTCGAACCACTCAACTTTCGATCATGTTATGGATTGGCTGAACGAAGCGGAGGCGAACGTGGGGGGACCGCAACCCGGGAACTGCGTTTTTCAACTTGTTGGCCATAAAGCTGACTTAGACGACCGTGAAAGACAAGTACCGCTTTTTTAAAAGGATTTGTATGTACTAGTTTGCATGAAATAAAACTGTATAGTAATTTAGGTAATGTACGAGGAAGGAGAGTATTTAGCAAAGTACCATAAAATTAAATTCATTGAGACATCTGCGGTCACCGGCGATAACGTACAGGTACTAAATTTGGCAATACAATGTAGTGTGCACTTTATATATATATATATATA